TAATTGATGGTTGTAAACTGACAATACTTAGGACGCAGCTCAGTACTATAATTGATAGTTGTAATCTGACAATACTTAGGACACAGCTCCGTAATATAATTGATGGTTGTAAACTGACAATACTTAGGACACAGCTCAGTACTATAATTGCTGGTTGTAATCTGACAATACTTAGGACACAGTTCAGAACTATAATTGATGGTTGTAAGCTGACAATACTTAGGACACAGCCCAGTACTATAATTGATAGTTTTAAACTGACAATACTTAGGACCCAGCTCAGTACTATATTTGATGGTTGTAAACCGACAATACTTAGGACACAGCTCAGTACTATAATTGATGGTTGTAATCTGACAATACTTAGGACGCAGCCCAGTACTATATTTGATGGTTGTAAACTGACAATACTTAGGACGCAGCCCAGTACTATAATTGATAGTTGTAATCTGACAATACTTAGGACACAGCTCCGTAATATAATTGATGGTTGTAAACTGACAATACTTAGGACACAGCTCAGTAATATAATTGCTGGTTGTAAGCTGACAATACTTAGGACACAGCCCAGTACTATAATTGCTGGTTGTAAGCTGACAATACTTAGGACACAGCCCAGAACTATAATTGATGGTTGTAAACCGACAATACTTAGGAAACAGCTCAGTATTGTCGGTTTACAACCATCAAATATAGTTCTGAGCTGTGTCCTAAGTATTGTCGGTTTACAACCATCAATTATAGTACTGAGCTGTGGTTGTAAGCTGACAATACTTAGGACACAGCTCAGTACTATAATTGATGGTTGTAAACCGACAATACTTAGGAAACAGCTCAGTACTATAATTGATGGTTGTAAACCGACAATACTTATATGACATCACTGGAACTGTAATTGTAAGAACTAAGTGATATTCATATTACACCCAAGTGTTACTTTGTCCTGTAATTAAGGAGTGTAAGGAAACTGACAATACTTGATTCAGCTTTGTGTTCATTGGCGTTTATTCCAGTCTGAGAATCCTACTGAACATGCAGTCTTAAGTATGGCTGGCAGGTTGGGTCATGTCAAACAGCATACCACTATTTATACATCGCCAAGTAATGGATCAATATTCTCCGCATCCTAATCATCTGGTAATGTTATCACAATTACCTGTAGTCTCTATAGCTTTATACTGTATGTTATAGTTAGGTACTGTATTCCTGAATGTAAAGATTTATAATCACACGATTTCTGACTATATCTCCTTATAGCTACATGTATATATATATATATGTGTGTATAGCTACATGTATATATATATATATGTGTGTATAGCTACAGTCTGTATCTATTTTAATGCATAAGATCTTCTACTTTGTATTGTTTTATACTTTATCTGTATGGGCACACCTGTTTTCAGAATCATTATGCGTATCCTGTCAGCATGTAGTATATATAGTTTATACTGACCCTCCTACGTGAGATATATATGCATCTATGCTTTACAAACGAAACCATTGTAACAAATTTCACCACAATGTTAAGATGGCCTGTGCCAAAACCTCAATATGCAGTCTTATCTTTTTTCCTCACTGAGAAGTGTTGTTTTATTTAGGGTCTTAATACTAAAATCAAATGCTCTCCTATATCATTCCACCGTGAAGAGGGTACATTAATGGTTACTGTAGTTTGATCAGGGAAATATTAATTTTGGTAATATTTTGTTTATTTTCAGCAGTAAACTACTCGGGTTTGCATAGAAATATTATTATAAGATGCCATTTTAATAGCTCAAAAATTGGTATCCTGACAAGTCTTTCTGACCCTTACCATAGACAGGGAGCAAAGTGAAAAATTGGTTCCAGTTTCAAAAATCTTCACCAGGACCTAAAACTGCTACAATCAAAAAGTCTTCATGCTATATATAGATGGAATCATGGAAATATCTGATGATACTTTATAGAAAATTATTTTAATTACCCTCCGATCATCCACTTCCAAGTGGAGAAGGAGTCAGTACTACAGGAGCAGTACTATGGGAGGAGACTCTAGGTCTGTCCCTCAGGTAGTGTCTCAGTGCATCATTAGTTCCCCATCAGTACTACAGGAGCAGTACTATGGGAGGAGACTCTAGGTCTGTCCCTCAGGTAGTCTCTCAGTGCATCATTAGTTCCCCATCAGTACTACAGGAGCAGTACTATGGGAGGAGACTCTAGGTCTGTCCCTCAGGTAGTCTCTCAGTGCATCATTAGTTCCCCATCAGTACTACAGGAGCAGTACTATGGGAGGAGACTCTAGGTCTGTCCCTCAGGTAGTCTCTCAGTGCATCATTAGTTCCCCATCAGTACTACAGGAGCAGTACTATGGGAGGAGACTCTAGGTCTGTCCCTCAGGTAGTCTCTCAGTGCATCATTAGTTCCCCATCAGTACTACAGGAGCAGTACTATGGGAGGAGACTCTAGGTCTGTCCCTCAGGTAGTCTCTCAGTGCATCATTAGTTCCCCATCAGTACTACAGGAGCAGTACTATGGGAGGAGACTCTAGGTCTGTCCCTCAGGTAGTCTCTCAGTGCATCATTAGTTCCCCATCAGTACTACAGGAGCAGTACTATGGGAGGAGACTCTAGGTCTGTCCCTCAGGTAGTGTCTCAGTGCATCATTAGTTCCCCATCAGTACTACAGGAGCAGTACTATGGGAGGAGACTTTAGGTCTGTCCCTCAGGTAGTCTCTCAGTGCATCATTTGCCCAGGGCATATCTCATCTATGTTCTCTGTCACCTATAATTGCCAAATTTTGTATGCAGAGTGTATATGTACCTCTTGGGATGGCAGTGTGGCATACTAGGTTAAGGTCTCCTACTCCACAAACTGCAGAGTTATGTCCCTTAGCTTAGCGTGCAGTCAGGAGTAGATAGATCTTATACTGCCACCTTAAATTACCAAATTCTGTTTGTAAGTCCCTCTTGCCAAGGGTTTCATATTGTAGCCAGTAAAAGTATCCTCCTAATACAGATATTTCACTGGCTATTGTTATGAAAAAATTAGAAGAATGGTAATGGGGTACTGTGCAATGTACTGAAATTAACTGCCTACTTAGTGTTGGATACATGCTGCTTGAAATGTTATTGGGATTTTCACGAAAAGTTCATGAAAATCGTAAATTTCATGCTATTTAATCTAACCTTTGGTCCTTTGGATAGGGCCTAATTCACTAAATATATCGTTATGGAGAAAATTATAGGAAATATAATGAATAGAACCACATTGCTTTGTATAAAACTGGGGTGACCGTAATGGCTGTATGGGAATCCTGTTGCTAAAGTGATTATTATATTATTTATGGATCACGCGGATGGTTTTTGCAGCCAGTGGAAATACTCCAGTACTAAATATAGATATCAAGTGTGAGTCATAAGTAACCTGTGTTGAAAAATTCCTCCAAACAGTCTTTACTCCTCCAGTCAGAGATTTTAATCGAGATATTGATCCACTATATGAGCCAGCCATCAGCAGCAACCTAGCTCATTGTCTAGCAACAATGCAAATGAGGAATGGTTACTCCATCAAGGTTGTTAAAACAATTTTCCTAAAGATTTTCATTATTGGTAAAATATTGGGATTTTTTAAAAATGATTTGGATGGGAATATTTGTTTTGAAAAAATAATAATATTACACGATTACTGTGGCTATAATTATTAGGGACAAGTCAGGTGACTGACCTCCGTTATGTGTTGATTCTGATGTGACTCACGTCAAGCCGTGTAGATTATTACAGGGCGTGTGATGGAAACTGTTGAGCCTGATTGTTTCAATCATAACCAAAGTACAGAGTTAATGTTGTATACGCTGATGGACTTGTAGGATAATGCTCTGTGAAAATTCTGATGAAATAAAATCCTAGAGATAGTCGACCTTGCCCGTGTGCCCGTCCCTGCTGAGTGGTGGATGTTTATTTATCCATGTGTGGTTAGAGCTGGTATGTCTACATTACTGTTTCCCAGAGTTAGTTGTGGCTATACTACATGCTAGCTAGACTGGCTGTCATTATCAGTCTGTAGGTTTATCAATTATTTCCTCTCTAGATATTAACTTGAACAAGTCTACACACTCTTGACCGTACACAATTGATATACTTCCTGTAGCCCATAGAAAAGAAATTAATCCTGCAGACTGAAAGCCAGTATAGCTGTGTACACATTCAACAAATTTCATATCAAATGATAAGGTTATATTTGAAACAATTAGAAACAGGAAATGTATACTTTACAGGGGAAGGGGGATGTGTATACATGTAAAATGTTATACAAGTGTATATATAAAACCCCCACTAAATAACGAATAATGTTTACTGTAGAGCAATGTGTTAAAATTTCCTATATTTTGTTAAGATCTTTGTAAGAAATAATTAATTCATTGAAGAATTCTGGTAAATTTGTAAACTTCGCATCAAAATTATTATTGCATCTTAATTTAAATCCTATAAGCGTTCTCCTGGTACAATGTAAATACAGAGCTTTTCCTGTGTGTACACAACACACAGGAAAATTTCACAGCATGTTAACTTTTGCTTTTTTTCATCATAACAGTGAATGTTGGTACACCGCATAGCATACATAGTAATGACACATGTAGGATGAAATTAGGTCTCGGCAAATATTGATTTTACTAGTGACGGGTGAATATTTGACCAGGAGTAAGTGGTACTCCACAGGACTGGTTCAATAGATAGTTTACTCACTCCTAACTCAAAGTATCGTGTCAAAACTCAAAGTATCGAGTCAAAAGTAATGGTGAATTTTTGTTAATTTGGCACATTTAGTGTGGCAACAAAATTCTCTGCTTAATTTAATTTGTTTAATTTCAGAATAAAAAATTCAACACAGCAGCAAATGGCTTATTTATAATACAAAAGCTTATTAAAAATTTGAATATCTGTATTTGCTCTATTAATTAACTCCAGTTAATCTACATATGAATTAACCTGCTCCTATTTATATACATTTGTCTGTTGCAGTGTTGAACCTTGTGTACTGGCGTGATGTGAAGACCACTGGAGTTGTGTTTGGCTCCATGATGTTCGTCCTTCTGTCACTCTCCTGTTTCTCTGTGCTGAGTGTTCTGGCCTACCTGTCTCTAGCTGTCATCACCGTCACACTCAGCTTCCGCATCTACAAGAATGTCCTCCAGGCTGTTCAGAAATCTGGAGACCCACACCCATTCAGGTACACATCTCACCTGTCAGGTACACCCATTCAGGTACACATCTCACCTGTCAGGTAAACACATTTTTAGGTCACCTGAGCTTTGCTCAAGTGACCTATTCCAATCATTTTCCGTCCGTCGTCCGTCGTGCGTAAACTTTTACATTATCAACTTCTTCTCAAGAACCAGTGGATGGAATTTTTTCAAACTTGGTCAGAATCATCCTTGGTATATGAGGCTACCAAATTGTAAAATTTTGATTCCTACCCCAACCCTAGGGGCCTGGGCGGGGCCCAAAAGGGAAAATTAACCAATATTTCAAAAATCTTCTTCTCCAGACTCAGAGGTATTACAGTCATTTTCTCTGCATGGATGGAAAGATCATCAGGGGCTTTATTTAAATTGTAAATTTCAGGACCCCC